GGGGCACCTGCGCAGCTGGGGCTGAAGCTGCCAGCGATGTGAGTGCCTGCCAGGTGACCTGCGCCGCCTGCCAGCCCAGGGAGCGTGGCCCTGCCAGCCCTGCCCAGGAGCCTGCCACCCGGGCGAGGTGGCCTGCCAGCCGGGGGGAGTGGCCAGCTGGGCTGGCGGCGCCTGCGGGCCCTGGGGGACCTGCGGAGGCGCCCTTATAACCTGCGACTGGATCTGCAGGATCAGAGGCTGAGCCTGCGGGGCCCAGGATGCCAGGGGCTGCGCAGGGGGCGCCGTCGGCTGCGCCATCGGGGCTGGAGACGCCGCCGGCTGGTTGATTGGAGCTCTCGCGGCCGTCGGATGAAGCATCAGGACTCCCGGACCTGGAGGCTTGGCCATCGGGGCTCCCGGAGGCGGAGGCTGGGCAATCAAGGCTGCCGGGGGCGGCGGCTGGGCCAGTGGAGTTCCCGGAGCAGCAGGTTGGACCATCAGGACCCCAGGAGTCAGAGGCTGCGCCATCAGGACTCCCGGAGCCGTCGGCTGCGCCATCGGGGTCCCCGGAGGGGCCGGATGCCCCATCGGGGTCCCGGGAGGAGGAGGCGGCACCATGGGGGTCCCGGGCGGTGGAGGCGGCACCAGCGGGGTCCCGGGAGGAGGAGGAGGCGCCATCGGGGTCCCGGGCGGGGGAGGCGGGGCCAGGGGGCCCCCGGGAGCCGAAGGATGCATCATCAGGACCCCCGGCGTCGGAGGCTGCGCCAGCGGGGCTCCCGGAGGGGTCGGATGGATCATCAAGACCCCGGTGGTCGGGGGCTTGCCCATCGGCCCTCCCAGCGGGGGCCCCTGGACCAGCGGGGGACCCCCGAGGGCAGGCGGCTGAGCCAGCGCCGCCGCCACCGGGGCGGGCGGCTGGACCTGCCCGCTCTCCCAGGCGGGCTGCGGTGCCTGCCAGGCGGCCAGCGACGCCTGCAGATCCATCGGAGGCGGGTCCCAGGGGACCGGCGGCGCCCGGGAGGAGGCGGGCGGGGCGCGCATCAGGACGGTGGGGCGGCTATAGACCGGAGGCTTGGGCGCCTCGGCCGGGGGACTGGCATCACCCAGATTCTTACTTAGCTGTGACATTGCCGGTGCAGGCGCTGCCGCCGCCGCTGCGCTCTGACAGCCGAGCCGATGGATGGGGCTCCCTCCGACAGCTGTCGGGCCTCCTTCCTTCCTTTTTTTTTTTTTTCCTCCGGAGCGAAGCGCAGTGGAGAGGAGAGAAGAGGGGAGAAGGGGAAGAGAAGAGGAGAGAAGAGAGAGAGAGAGAGAGAGAGCGCGCCTACGTGGCTGGTCGGCGGCTCTCTCCTCCCTGCTGAGCGGCTGCTGAATAGGAAGTGAGCGCCGGCAGCTCGCCCTCCGCAGCGGCTTTGCGCAGTAAGAAGGCGGAGGGAAAGGGGGCTCAATCCCGCCCCGTCCCCGCCCCCCGACCACCACAAGTGGATCCCGCGCGCGGGGGGCGCATGGACCAGCCACCCTGGCTGGGAGACCACGTACCTCTTTTCCCTCCGTCTGTCTCTGTCTGTCTGTCTGTCTGTCTGTCTGTCTCTGGGTCCGGTCTCCAAACGCCAGGCAGCAGCCGGGGGCCGGCTCTGTCCAGGGATGTGGTCGGTGCGTCGGCAGCAGCGAGGCGGCGAGCAGGAGCCGGGCTCTGCCTCCGCAACCCCTCCGCGCTGCGGTGCGGAGTGGGAGCGGACCACCGCGGAGCAGGGGAAGGCATCCACCCGCGGGGGGAGGAGGAGGGGGGCGATGGCGTGGGCTGAGCGCAGCCGCAGCCCAGCCGCAGCCGCAGCAGCAGCAGAGACGTCTACGATGCGCGTCAGCCTGAGCCGCCCCCCACCCCGCCCCTCCACCCCCCGCCCCTCTCCTTTCATCTAATTGTCAAAGTTGATGGAGGAGGCAGAGAAGTCTGTCCCCCCGGGCCTGCCCTGGGGGATGAGGAATAAGCCTCCCTGTAGATCCTGCGGTTAGGGACACGGTGGGGGGCCCCCTGCGTGCATATTGATCAGGATGCATGCATCTCCCAGGCTGTAGGGCTGCCCAGGAGGGATGCGTGCCCCGCAGACACCTGTATCCTGGCTGGGGATGCAGAAGGAAACCGAGGCAGGAGGCGGGCACGCGTCTCGGGGCTGAGAGAGCCAGGCGCGTGCACAGGCGTTTGCTGAAGAAACACAGTGTTTGCGCCTGAAGTGCAGGAGATAGGGCTTGAGAAATAACAGGCAGGTTTTTTTTTCTTCTTCTTTTTTCTTTTTTTTTCTGGACACAAGCAGAGGAAATGGGTGGCAAAGAGTCCAGAGAGGAAGGAAAGAAACCCTAGAAGGTCTAGAGGTTGAAGAAATCAAGGGAAGGCAGCATTTTTTTTTTTTTTTTGCACCAGGAACCGTTCCCAAGCCGAGGCCGGGATGGGAGGATTAGGGTTGGTTTCTTCCTGGTGTTTTTCATCTGTTGCAGCGCGGGAAAGCAGCTGTGAAAATAAACAGCGAAGGCGGGAAGGAATACAGCGGGCGAACCCGCAAGATCCCAGGTTAATGTATAGGGCCGTGCGGCTCGCGAGCCACATGCGGCTCTCTGGCCCCTTGAGTGTGGCTCTTCCTAAGCCTGAGGGGTACCCTCATTAAGTGAATAACAATGTACCTACCTATATAGTTTAAGTTTAAACAATTTGGCTCTCAAAGGAAATTTCAATCGTTGTCCTGTTGATATTTGGCTCTGTTGACTAATGAGTTTGCCGACCACTGGTATAGGGGGGAAAAAACAGCAACACGTGAAGCAGCTTAAACCCGAGGGAGGGAGAGAGAGAGAGAGAGAGAGAGAGAGAGAGAGAGAGAGAGAGAGAGAGGATGAATGAAAGGAGCCAACAGGAGCCCTCAGTATGACTTGGGAACACTCCACCGCTTCATGCCAACAAGTCCTCCTGCAATGGTTTTCTAGAAATATACAAAACACTAACTCTTAAGGTGGTTTGATTTAGAAGGGGGGATGAGTCTCAGTCCCGGGGCGAGAGTCCAGAGTGACCCCCCAAAAAAGACAGAAAAAAAACCCATATGAAAAAGGCCACCAGGGGGCATCAGAGAGTGGAGAGGGCTCTACCCGACTCCCCCTGAATGGATACCCCTGGCCAGTGTTTCTCAAATTTGGGGAGTTTCTGAGTCCCCATGAAAGCGTAGTAGACACACTCCCAAGTCCACCGGGGAGTTGGGGCCACACGTTTTCGGTAGACACTGGCCTGAAGTCATGAGAGAGCCATTTGGGAAGGAGGTACCAGTGGTTTTAATGATGATCCAAGGAATGAGAAATCGGGGTGGTTCTCTCTCAATGTTTCATGGTGTCCCATCCTGGGATACGGGCATGCTTAGGGTTTCTGGTTCCCTCTCGTGGGTTAATAGTCCACGCCAGACCTCTCCGTTTGATAGGGGTTTAGAACCACGTCTGAGGGGCCAAGTCTACACTTAACCCTCACGCTCCCCTATCACCAGCTAGTCACTGGACATGGATGGCTTTGGGGGGACGGGGGGCCGGTTCACGTTTCCAAGTGAGTTCCAGCCGATGACATGTCTGCTCTCTTTATTTTTATTTTTTTAAAATATATTTTATTGATTTTTTACAGAGAGGAAAGGAGAGGGATAGAGAGTTAGAAACATCGATGAGAGAGAGACATCGATCAGCTGCCTCCTGCACACTCCCTACTGGGGATGCACCCGCCACCAAGGTACATGCCCTTGACCGGAATCGAACCTGGGACCCTTCAGTCCGCAGGCCGACGCTCTATCCGCTGAGCCAAACCAGCTAGGGCTATTTTTTATCTTTATTTTTAAAATGTTTTTTTTATTGATTTTTGAGAGAGAGAGAGAGAGAGAGAGAGATAGAAAAACTCGCAAATGACTGACTCCAAGCAGGAAACACACCTGAGGAAGCAGGTGGCACACAGCCCCTTTGTAGAGACTGACTTTTTAAAAAAATATACATTTTTTATTGATTTCAGAGAGGAAGGGAGAGGGAGGGAGAGAAACACCAATGATGAGAGACAATCATGGATCAGCTGCCTCCTGCACACCCCCTACTGGGAATGGAGCCTGCAACCCCGGGCTCGTGCCCCGACTGGGAATCGAACCCGGGACCCTTCAGTCCACAGGCTCAGGATCTATCCACTGAGCCACACCGGCCAGGGCCAGATCGACTGTTTGGATGCCAGCAAAACCCAATACTCTCCTGAATCCAGTGGGAAATTGGGGCCACGAATTTTACATAGGTTCCCCCCAAACCCTCTCCCTCTCGTTCCATCTGGCTTTCTGAAGCCCCCCCTGCCCCCCGCCCCGCAACCCCTCTTCTGCCTATGTGCTCTTTGTACCCCAGACCTCGGAACCAGACGGCGCCAGAATTCCTCCTCCTCCTCCTCCCCCTCCTCCTCCTCCTCCTCCTCCTCCTCCTCCTCCTCCTCGCTTCGCCTCAGGACAGATCCAAAATCTAAGGTGAGTGGGACACCGCAGGCAAACACAGAGCACCCATGGAATGCGCGTGCCTGTTTTTTCTTCTGATTAGGAAGGACTCTCGTATTTGTACAAGTCTGTCACCAAAGGGGGAACATGCCTCATAAAAAAAAAACCCAAAAAGACGGGGAGAGGAAGGCGGAGTATAAACAAGCAGGCAAGGCCCTGAGCTGGGAGCAGGGGGATGTGTGAGTGTACTGACCATCTGCATCACCACAAGAAGGGACACTCCCCTAGGGACTGCAGCCTTCTTCTTTTTTTCTCCTTTTTATAAATTTTTTACATATGTATTTTTATTGACTTCAGAGAGGAAGGGAGAGGGAGAGAGAGAGACAGAAACATCCACGAGGAGAGAGAATCATCAACCAGCTGCCTCCTGCACGCCCTCTACTGGGGATGCAGCCCGCAAACCCAGGCACGTGCCCTGACTGGGAATCGAACCCAGGACCCTCCAGTCCACAGGCCCATGCTCTAGCCACTGAGCCAGACCAGCTAGGGCTGGAGCCTTCTCTTTTGGAAAAATATGTTTTTTTGTTTTGTTTTGTTTTTTAGTGAGAGAGGAAGGGAGAGGGAGAGAGAGATAGAAACATCCCTGATGGGAGAGAATCATGGATCGGCTGCCTCCTGCACGCCCCCCGCTGGGGATCGAGCCCGCAACCCGGGCATGTGCTCCGATGGGGGAATCGGACTGTCACCCCCCTGGTTCATGGGTCGATGCCCAACCACTGAGCCACACCGGCCGGGCAGGAGCCTTTTTCTGTTCACGTGCAAACCCCGGCTCATCCTGAGTGGCCAGTAACGAGCTGTTGGTGAACGTGTAAAATTCGCAACACAATTGCTTGCCTACGTTCCACACACCTTCCCTCCGCCCGCCACCCCCCGGGCTGTTAGAATGACATGTTACAATGTTCCCAAAGCCCACACCTATGTATTTATGAAACGCCTTTTCCGAAAGGATCTATTTTGGGTGGACCTACAGAGCAAAATCCTTGCAGACACCTCGAATAGGCACGTAGTAGTATTTATTTCGCATTGTTTTTCAAACTCACGTTGGTCACAGTTGCTGCAAAGAAAGGAATCCTCCCTTCTGTTTGGAGTGTGGGGGTGTGTGCTGTAGCAAAAAAAAAGAGGAAGAAAAAAGAAAAAAAAATAACCAGTTCTAAAGAGGGGGAGATTCCTGAATGTTCTCCCAGTAGACAGGCTGAGCCCTGCAAGAAACACATAGACTCTATCCCAAGTAGGAGGCGCGTGAAAGCATCTGCAAGGGGTTCCTGAAAACAGTGTAATGATTATCGAGCAGGGGTCCCCAAACTTTTTAAACAGGGGGCCAGTTCACTGTCCCTCAGACCGGTGGAGGGCCGGACTATAGTTTAAAAAAAAAAACTATGAACAAATTCCTATGCACACTGCACATATCTTATTTTGAAGTAAAAAAAAACAAAACGGGAACAAATACAATATTTGTATTTGCATGTGGCCCGCGGGCCGTAGTTTGAGGACCCCTGAGCTATTAGATGGTTTTTATCTGGCCAAATACCATCCGAAAAGGTTTACAGACATTGCATGCGCCTCACAACACCCACAGGTGGCTTGAGCCCA